TCCATCTTCAAGATCTGAAGTCCAAAATGGAAGACATTTTTGAAAGAAGCAATACAGTACAGTGACAATATTACAATAGCGGCGTGACATGTTTCTCTTTTTGAGCCTGGATGAAACCAAAAACAGAGTTCAACTTCCTGCCTTGATGTGCGCATGTTCAATTTGTTGTCATTTTTCCGATTTTTGTCATGGCTGTTTCATGACTACATTTCCGCCACGGTCACTTTTTTGAAGTCATGACTACCAGACCCATTTTTTCGATCACATTGACGAGAATTGATTGTTTTGAACATGTTTAAGGCCGAATGACTGGAGGCACCTCTGAGATCTATTATAACTTATAACCCATTCTATATTGACCATTTTTGACAAAATGAACGTGGTCGACCTCTATTCCCGGTAGCTCGAAACTTATATAATTGTTTGCTTAGTAGAGCATTTCTCTGCCGGGACACCAAGTAGGTGAACGAAAGAAACGCGAAACGCCCTCGTTCTTGCCAAAGTTTATGCGCTCTCAGGAGGTGAACCCAACTCGGCTTACCAGTGGCTGAAGGAGATCAGTGACAAGACTGGAAGTGGCAACTTGGGCACCAAGATTGTTTTCAATCACTGGTTACTATGAACTCAGATGCTAAGAGCTATCAAATTTTTGAACATTGGTCTATTCTAGTGGCCCAGTGGTTGTTCCTTTCTTTGTGCATGAAAGATCATGAAAGCGGATTGATTGAAATGACTGTTCTGGTCTTGGCATCCGCCGTCAATTCATAGCTACCCTCACTTGAGGCATCAGCTACACCACAGGCACGGCATGAGCGCTGAGCTCCGGCATCGACACTGTTAAAAGAACCACTTGCCAAGTGGGACGCGCTCTAGCGGATGAAATTGGGTACCAATCGCTAACCCAGCATTTCAAGTTTGGACCTCTAGGCGGCCTTTGCATGTAACAGGATGCCTCACTGAAGTATCTACCCGCGACAGTCCGAACGAAATTCCGCCGGCAACGCGAAGGTCAGCCATACTTGGCATGTTCCAAAGACTTGAGCAGTGGATTCTGCAAGGCATGGGGTTGGCTTGGCATTTGATGATGTTCTCCGATTTGGATGATTTTTCTGCCCAATTTAGGACCGTTTCCTTCGCTGTCGGACAACCCACCGACCCAAAATGGCGTATTTGTGTGGGAGGCTTTATGGGAACAAATCGGCACTCGGCACGTGTAAAAGGACAGGGACCCACAGAGCGACGCGTTGGTTCACGTTTCCTCCATTAAGCCTTGTCCATGTTGAAATTAAGACACTCATGCCACAGAGTGCCTTGGGCGATTTGACCCCTGAGCTGATTTCACATGCCACAGGATGCTGATTTCACCTGCAGCGCGGAGAACGTGCAGCGCACCTGCGCGACCTTCGGGAAGAGCTGCGTGGGCTTGGCGAAGTATCCCAACGCCACGGTGGCAGAGTATGGCGCACTTGGCTGAACCACAGCAGTTTTTCCCGTTTGCACCCACCAAGTCACCGCGGAGGTCCGAAATGTCCAAAACGCCAACGAAAATCCATCAAGCCAGGGTTGATTTGAGGGGTTCCTGACAGTGGAAGGGACAAACAGCTTAATTAAACAATCACCAGGATCCCGCAGATGTCGATAGGTATGGGTCGAGGTACCACATGACCCGGTGCTTCCGGGCGCCATCGAAACTACTAGGCTCGATCAAGGGCAAAGACGCCATGATGAAAGAGATCTTCAATCGGGGGCCCATCGCTTGCAACGTGGATGCCAACTACATTCTCAACTACACGACGGGCATTGTCACTGCCAAGTCTGGAGCTCAGGGAGGAGTTTTGCTCCTGAAAATGGCGGCGACCCATGGTGGCCAAGCCCCGAAAGCCAAAACATCACACAAGCAACATCAAACAACTAGAAACATGTTGCCTCCAGGTGCCCTCAGACACACCACTTGAATTTCGATGGATTTCGAGAAACCCATCGAAAGATCATGAAGAATCTGACAAAAATCACAGAGCCCGGGCCAAGCCCCGAGGAGCAGCCAGACCGACCATACCATCTCGGTGGTCGGCTGGGGCACCGATGATCAGTTGGGCCTCTATTGGATTGTCCGCAACTCCTGGGGCGCGGGGCCTAGTGACGCCCGTCGCGGTCAGACCGGGCGCCCACCGCGCGAGCTCCGCGGGACCGATGTTTTGGACTTCGATGCAGAAGGGTGACGAAGCTTTGAAGGACACTGAAAGCGATCATCGTTCACATGTCAAAATAGTTTGTTTCTTGGTGCATGACTCTCAAGTTGCATTTTCAAGTCTCCACTGGATGAAGTCGTTTGCTTCTCAGGCGAGTACTGGGGTGAGCAGGGCTACTTCCGCGTCCAGAGTGGGGCGCTAGCCATCGAAGAGGAGGGGCGCACGGATCTTGATGAAGTTCAGCCTCCACCAAACCAAGTGGTTCCCTTCTGTCAACTTTGAGCCCCACCACATAAACAGCTCAATCAGTTTGCACTTTTCTCCTGCCAGCTGTTCGGGGCGCTCAAATGGTCATTTGCCGAGTGTATGAGCATCGTCATGATGTACAGAATGTTGGTAAGGGTTGGGATGTTGAAAATCCATCAAATAACAACACCTTTTTGGTTGCACAATGAATGCACTATGAAACAAGAAAAACTATATTATACTATGACAGACTATGCACGTCTCATAGCACCAAGTTCGTTTGATAGTCAACCATCGCTTGAGGACAGCTGCACTTGGGCCACCGTCAAGGATTTCACGGCACCAGAGCGGCAGAACCAGTTGCCTGGCAGGGTCTCATGGGGATGTATTGAAAATGCAATCATTGAACCAGTGGCTGGCATAACCCTGTAGATGCTTCTTCTTGAGGATAGTCTTGAGGATCTATTTGTGTTGAGGCTGTGGATGGGAGTTTGGAGTAGCAACTTGTATAGGTGCATCCGACCCCTCACGCACAACATGTTGTTGTTTTCGGAAGTGGCCCTTCCTGTCTGGACAGAAACAGTGGGAAGCTAAGAATTCGTGCTTAGCAAAGATCGGGCATCATTGCTTTTCCCATGCATGTTGCTCGCCAGCGATGGAACTTTGTGCGTGTAAGGGCTAGATGGTGTGCTGTTCTGGTATTATAATATATTGAGAGTAACCTGCAGATGTCACTAACCCACAGACGTCACACGTAATCAGCTTTGATGAGATAGATGGTAGTGACTGAAGATACTGTGGGTTGTCAACCTATGGCTCTCAGACCTTGAGAATGCGAATAATGCTGACGGTTGCCAACCTACAGCTGTCAGAGGACAGTGGTTTGCCAACATGGATTTCAATTGCCTTGAGAATGCCAACCTGCAATCTATGGCTTTCAACGGCCTTGAGAATGCATATGCTGCATGCATGATGCCGATAAAATAGACTGTAGGCAAACCTAAAGACGTCAAAAGCTTTTACAATGTATACGATGGTATCGGTTTATGACACACTGGGTTGCCAATGTGGATTTCAATGGCATGGTGCCCGTAAATTAGGCTGTAGGTTGCCAACCTACAGACGTCAGAAGCTTTGACAATCTAGATGGTATCGGTTCAAGACACTGTGGGTTGCCAATATGGATTTCAATGGCTTTGAGAAGGCATATAATGCCCGTAAACTAGGCTGTAGCCTGCCAACAACCTACAGACGTCAGAAGATTTGACAATCTAGAATCTAGATGGTATCTATCGCTTTAAGACACTCTGGGTTGCCAACATGGATTTCATTGGTCTTGAGAATGCATATGATGCCCATAAAATACGCAGGTTGCCAACCTATAATTAGACGTCAGAAACTTTGACAATTTAGATGTTTTTGGTTTAAGATGTTTTAAGACACTTTGGGTTGCCAATATGAATTTCAATGGCCTTGAGAATGCATATGATTCATATGATGCTGCACGTATATAGGCTGTAGATTGCCAGCCTACTGACGTCAGAAGCTTTGACAATGCTGATGGTATCGGTTTAAGACAGTGGGTTGCCAATTTGGATTTCGATGGCTTTGAGAATGCATATGATGCCCGTAAAATAGGCTGTAGATCTGTAGGTTGCCAACCTACATAAGGCAGATGGTATCGCTTTAAGATGATGTGGGAATAGCTGCCGTTTTGCAGTCTTGAACATGAGGTTTCACTGCTACAAGGACGGTGCTGGCTGGACACATGTGGTGTCATACACAATCCCGAAGCCTTTGGAGATACAATGCTGGTGTGGTGGAAAGTGACAGCAGCCTTCAGTTTGTCAATGTGGATTTGCCTGTCATGACGCCATGATGAAAACATGTTGTCATGTTTTCAACATCAATTTGTGGCCTGCAACTTGGCAGGACGGCTCCAACTGCCAATCAGCCGATCATTTGAATGAGATCGTCGTTTGAGAGTTGGGCCCATGGAATACCGCCCTCACGGCCAAGCCAGGGAACCGGGGGTACCCTCGAGACGTGACCGGTCACCGGTGCGATCGGCGAAAGAAGGAAACCAGTGACCTAAGACGAGGACTAGAATGACTGACTAGAGTGACTAGAGTGCCTAGAAAACCAGAAGCTACTAGGATTACTAGGGCATTGCTACACGCTCCTGGCACTACTATTAACAAGAAGACCGGTTTGGACGAGACCGTGGGACGAGACCGTGGGACGTGCCCAGCGGAGTTGACAGATCGACTCCAGCCGCTCGTTGCGGAGACAGCGCTGGAATGGCTGGAATCGAAGCGGATCGAGCCCGAGCTAGCTGACCTAAGCCAATAGAAGCAATCCTTTTGATATCGATATGTGATAGGTGTGTGTGGTGATTGTTTGGAAGCACCGTGCAACAGATTTAAACACGGGTGGATTTTGTTCTTGCCAAACTCTTACCTTGACTTTCCGAAGCTGGGGCCATGTAGGCTTGGGTATGACACGGTATGACTTTCAAACCAAAGACCCTATTGCATTTGTTTACTGTTCCTTTCTCCTGTAGAGTTGCGTGACGGACCTGCCAAGTGTTCAAACTCATCTAACATCAGGAAAAGCTGCCCATTTGCTGGGATCTTAGCCGGTTTGAGCCTATTGGGCCACCGGTGGTCCTGCCGCCACGTCCATCGCTGGACCGGGATGGACCATCCGCGAATCTTCCGACCTGGGCGAGTTGCCTTCCTTCCTTCGGTCAAACTGTTCTAGCAGAAAGATTGACATCATATGACATCCAAGAAGCGGCTGCCATTCATTTTACCCAGGATGTTCTTTTCCCTCAGTCTTGTAACATCCACATGGATGTTGGATGTCCTAGCACCAGGATGCACCATCACGCACAAAGCATGTACCGTGCATCCTTTTTGTGCCATCCGGCTACCCATGTGTGTGCAATTCGGGGCTCCTGGAGACAGAGATGCTTCGATCATCAGACGACAACAACATACAACCAGGTTCGGGCACGCAAGAGTAACATGGAGTAACTAGAGCCACAAAGATCCGCAACTCCTTTTACCACGTTCCGGAGTCAGACTGCAAATTTCAGCGGAAGTAGTCAGAGCCAAACGATCTTGTCGGATGTTGATCAGGCTGACCCGCTGCAAAGGTTTGAAGTTGTTGGTCCGCAAATCTTGCAAAAACATGGGCATACGGCATACGCCTCACGCCAGTCGCGGATGGAGATGTGAATAGCGATGCTGGCACAAGGCTTCACCGGCAAAAGGGCAACAAGAGTTGCTTAGTCTAGTCAGTCTAGTGGAGAAAAAGAATGCGCGAAAAGAGGATGCTCTCCTGTGGTCCGTCATGACTGCTTCAATGCATTCCACTGTAACGATGGATGGCGTCAAGATGCCTTTTCTCCCCCAGTTGGCCTTTCGAAGTTTAGGCCAAGATCTGATCATTCAACTCGCCAGTCAATAGTTGGGCATGCTGAGATTGGATGGTTTTCGAGCATTACGTTAAAACATCCAACAAATTGCAATGCAAGCGAATTGTTTGTTTTCGAGGCCAGTCAGCTACTGCGTTGTTCCTTTCGTTTCTTCTGTAGTGTTCTTTCGCGACTCCAGGAATGTCACGACCAGAGCTGGGAGGAGGTGCTTGCCTCGCGGCGGAACACTCGCGATTGACTCTCTCATCCGATGTCACAGGGCCAGGTGCGGTCGGCACAGCTAAAAGGCCAGGTCGGCAACTGATCATTGAAGCAAACATTGTTACTACTAGTAAGGCACCTGTTACTACTAGCGATGCACTTGTGATGAAATCCAAAAGCAACATCAAATCCTAAGAGATCCAATCGATCCTCCCTTTGGTATCTCCAAGATGGTGTTTCTACATGTTTCGACCCTCCAGGCCTGGGAGTCAGGTAACTCATTTTGCGACGGGAATGGGCGTAGCCACAGGCCGATTTATTTGGAGATCCAGGATCCTGCTGACCGGGTTCAGAACTTCAATCCGAAGGATCAATGGGTTGCCTTGGGTTATGTGGCAGGTAGAGTGAGGTAGATGAGTTCGGTCGGCCAAAAGATGCTATTAGTATGGGAAGGTAGATCAGGTTCAGGGGCTCATCAGACAAAGATAGAGAAAGCATAGAAGGTGTTAAAACAAAAATTCACACATAGCCACATATTCTTGAATATTAATGCATGCATGCACTCTGTGTGTGTATGTGTACGGCCATATTGAAGGTTGCTACAGTCATTCAACTATAGACTCCTGTTTTGCTTCCGTGTGTGACCGGTTGGACCCCCACATGAACAAAGAAAACCCCAAACTGCTGGCCGATGGCATGACTATACACTATACTCCTGGACTCCTGGCCTTTCTGACTGCCTGCGCGGCTGAAGGCGGTGAGCTTTTGGACTGTGAGCTTCGCCCACGAACTGGCCCATTTCGAGTCCCCAGTGCACGACAGGCGGGCGTGTTTTTCCCGTTTCTCCCCCATTGGCAAATGGAACAAAAGGAAAAAGACTATATGTGGATAGAGTCGTAAGTAGATGGCAAAGGAGGTTTATAGGGACCCCCGTCTAAGAGACATTTTGGGGGTTGTGTCTACTCTATAGAGCAAACACCCCCGTCTTTTTGGGGTCTCGAATATTTGGGACAGATCAGCTTGGAGGGATAGCATTTGAATTTGTGGATCCTGCCAAACCTCCCTTTGGAAGAAGGGACGATCATATATCATATGGCGAAGCGTGTCATGTCTCCGTTCTGTGCTGGCTTGCAGTGTCACTTGCACTTTGGGAGAGGGCTCGCATCCTGAAACCATGTCACGCGCTTCCGTGTTGGTTGCACAGACTCCTCCAGACTTCCAATTGAAATGGGGCCATCTCACCCATCCACACTGGGACCGGCGCAGGCAGCATGGCCGCGCGATGGAGATGTCACAGCGTGCCATTTTGCCCCGCATCCCGCCTCTGGGGCCCAATCCGCTGGTGGAACTCACCAGACCATTGGGGACCGAGTTCGCGGCACGAATCCGGATC